TCTGCTACCTTAATACTAAAACTATAAATATAGGCACATAGATCTATTTCCCCATCCTCATATATTAATATATTTGCATATGTACATGTCTTTACCTAGACCTCTATAAATGCCCTTTGCCTCCTAGCTCTTTCCTCTATTTCCCTTGACTTTCCTCCTTGAGAACTGTACATTTAATGAGAATATACGTATTTTATTCTCATTAAATATATATAAACATTCAACAACTTAATGATAAAAAGACAAATAAAACAATCAAAAAATGGGCAAAAGATACGAATAAACACTTTGTCAGAGAAGACACTTAAATGGCCACCAAACACATGAAAAGATGCATCACTAGGCATCTCAAAACTCAAAAGTTCACAGTCAATTCTGACTCATAGCAACCTTGTAAGACAGAGTAGAACTTCCCCCATAAGTTTCCAAAACTACAAATTTTTGTGGTTGTAGAAAGCCTCATCTTCTCCCGTGGAGCAGCTGATGGTTGTGAACTACGGGCCTTGTAGTTAGCAGCCAATGCATAACCCACTACATCCCCAAGCCTCCTCACTAGGCATCAAAAACATGCAAAAGAAAATCACGAGATAATACTTAATGCCAGTTAGAAAGGTTAAGGTTTTTTTTACTTTAAATAAAAAGAAATAGCAAATGTTGGCAAGGGACAGGGACAAAACAGGGGCTCCAACCCTGCCAGCTGAGAGAATGAACAAAGGATCCTGTGAAACAAGTGATGAACAAAGGACTCTGTAAGAAATGACTTGGTAAACACCTTAACCTTGAAGCCAGGCCCTAGTGAAAATTCTGACACAGGACTATACTGGAAGAAAATTTGAGACAAGTTGGCCACAGGCCAGATAAAGTTGAAAGAAAAGTTGAGGCCCAAGAACGAATAGAACAACTGATTACAAAGCTGCTTAACCATCTGCAGACCGGCAACCCCTACCCTTTTGAAAGTGCCATTTAAAAACTAGAAGCGTTCCCCTCCAAGCATCCCTTCTCACTTCTAGGGAGGGACCTACTTCATCCCCAGAATCGATGCTTAAGGTGTCCATCTCAACTCAAAAACCAGACACGCTTCATTTCCTTTGGAGAACTGTAGCTTCACTCTGCTGCTGCAGCTGTTGCTCCTGGTGGTGTGTATGTACACGAAGTGCAGGGCTTTGGAGCTTGCTAATGCCCCTGTGGGTGGCAGCTCGGATGCCATACTTCACAGAATGGATGTGGGGAATTCGGAAACTTCAGCCATTGCTGGGGGGATGTAAAATGGTACAACCATTGTGGAAAACACTGTGGTTTTTCCTCAAATGATAAATAGAGGAAAGGTTGAAGCTGTCAAGAATGTGGTCTTGGTTGGATCCACAATCAACGCACGTGGAAGCAGCAGTCAATAGAGCAAAAGATGAATTGCATTTAGTAAATCTGCTACACAAGATTTCTTTGGAGTATTGAAGAGCAAGGATGTTACTTTAAGGACTAAGGTGGTGCACCGAGCCATGGTATATTCAATAGCCTCGTATGTATGGGAAAGTTGGACACTACATTAGGAAGTCTGTAGAAGAATCGCTGCACTTGAATTGTGGTGCTGGAGAAGAATACTGAAAGAACCACGGACTGCTAAAGGAAAAGAATGCTCTTTGGAGGCAAGGATGGCAAGTACTTCATTCATGTACTTTGGACAGGTTGTCAGGAAAGACCAGTCCCTGGAAACGAACATCATGTTCACCAAATAGTGAATGTAATTTTTTTAAAGTGATATACCCAATCATTGAAATATTATAATATTCAGCAGTGAAAAAGAACAATGTACTGATATATATATATATATATATATATATATAGAGAGAGAGAGAGAGAGAGAGAGAGAGAGAGAGAGAGAGAGATACAACTACAAAGACATTGTTAAATTAAAGAAACCAAGAAACAAAGGCTCATGTTTAGTTACAGAAAACAAACATATAAGTGGTGGGTGGAGCTTAATGTATCAACTACAAATGAGTAAAAGGATACTTTTAGAAGGGATAGAAATGTTCTGTATCTCAACTGTGGCTGAGATTTAGTAGGTGCATAAAAACAAAAAGAAAGCCTTTGCTGTTGGCTCGGTTCCATGTGATGACCCACATGTTATCAAATAGAACTATTCAAGAGGGGTTCCTTGGTTGTGAATGGTGTAGAAGCAGATCGCCAGGCCTTTCTTCATAACATCCCTGGGTGGGTGCAAACTGCCAAGCTTTTGGTTAGTAATCAAAATACATATTTAGATAGTTATATGTACACAACCCACAGACCTATTATAAGTGTACACATCTTATCAAAAAACATCAAATGCATATAATAAATGCAAATTATATCTCAATAAAGTTGATTTAAAACGAAAAACACTTCCAAAATATTATTAAATACTTTCAATTTAAGATTCAGTACCTGGCTATCTTTTAACCATAAAATTCATTATTAATAAATATATTTTGAAATGGATTGTAGTAGCAATTGTATAATACTGCTTGGTGAGACTGATATATGGAATGATAACTATATTAACTCCCAATAAAATGTTTTTTTTTTAATCTTTTTTAAAAGAGCAAAGAAATATTTTAAAAGCAAACAAGAAGATAACTTGCTCTACTAATTGAACATAATTCAGAAACAGAAACCATAAAAAGCTTTGAAAGTCAAAAAAACCTGATTCTGAGTCTTAGTTCCACTTAGCAACCAAGCAGTCACAATTTCTACAATCCTCATTTACCACATCTAGAAATATATTAATAACTGCCTGTGATAGGCAGGTTTATTGTGCCAACCTGGCCAATAGAAACATATGGGATAAATCAGGTGGCAGTCTGATTGGAGGACAAAGAGATAAATGGCTTGGCAAGGCCCACCCCTCTCTCTTGCTCTCTGGTGATCAGGCCAGCATGTGGCTGCTTTAACTAGTTCTCTGCCTCAACTTGTGGGCTACACCACCTGTGGGACAAGCCAACCCATGGATCATGTCGCTAGAGCTTGAGGTTCCTTCAACACCTGCTTCACCATGCTGCTGTTGTGTACATCTCTTGAGCTTGAGGCAGGTGGATCTTGCATTGCTTGAGTGCGATATCCCATCCAGGACTACTTCGCTAAGCTTCTGAGCTGTTAACTGTTGGTGACCCGCCCTGCTGTTTGCTGCCTTTGTGCGAACTCTGCCTACATTGCCCAAGGGAAGACTCAGCTGTCTGCTTCCTTGACCTTGGACCCAGCGGCCCTGTGAGTTAAAGGACTTCCAGTACATTAACTCTTCAATGGAAGTGAGTTGAACTGAGTCTTCTATACTGTTGTGTGGTCTAATTAGCTGTTATATTCATTCATGCTATATAGACCTATATATATATTCCTATGTGTCCTGGTTTTGTTTCTCTAGAAAATTCTGCAGAACACACTAGCACATAGGCAAAAGTTATGGTTTCAATGGAATGAGTGCTCCTTCAGTGAGAGGGTTATATTTTAGCCAAAGTTATAATCCCATTGTCTAGTTAGTAACTTCTCAATAAATTGTTATAGAATAAGGGAATAACTTTAAAAGTGAATCTGAAAGGTGAGGCATCATACACACTGCCAATGGGTGACTGTCTTTTTCTTCCTTTGCATTTTTGTAGAAAAATTCATAAGAGTCTACTTTGTCTCCCTCTTTAGCCCACATCAGATGCAAACTCAAGCATGGAAACTTCATGTTCTTGTTTAAACCCTGTTGTAACAAAGACCATTTATTATATATCAGATTTCACTGTATATTTCCAAGTTATTGGGGTTTGGACCTTAGACTTATATGCACGTAAGGTTCTCAAAATCATGAGAGGAAGGAGTGTTTCTATTTTATTTACCACTGGTCCTCACTGCCAACCTTTGCCTGGCATAGATTTGGCACCAAGTAGCATGTGCAAAGGTCCTGTGACCAGATGAAACACAATAAGAATTATTAAGAATGTTGAAGTAGCAGATGGGCCGAAAGCAGGGAAAGTCTCATGTCTGAAGTAGAAGCTGAAGAAGCAGATACTGCCTAAACCATGTAGACCCTTGAAGGCCCTATGAAACTTTATCCTAAAAACAAATGAAAGCCACCGAAGGTTCTCAGACAAGTGGTTGGTAGCTGGTAGTGTACAGAGGTAGGAAAGAGGGATATGTAGGTTTGCATTTTTAAAAGAGCACACTCTATAAACAAGAGAAGAGATTGATAGTGTGTTGTGGGTAGGGGAAGTGAAGGGGCATTAGGATACAGAGCAAATCATAAATAAAGAAGCTATTAAAACAATCCATTAAATAAAGTATGGCTGGATCCAACATGGTGGCGATGGAAGAGTGCACAGGTTTCAAAAATATTTATTCAAATCAATAGGACTTGCGTTACTATTGTCATTCCACAAAATGGCAACTACCAAAGGCTAAAAAACTGTGGGGGGGGGGGGGCCGGGGGGCGGAAATGGAAATAGCAATGCAAACACTCATATCCACTCCGCTGAAGACAGAATCTACCACTAGCCACTGAAACAACTTTCCAAATACTCATCTGACCTCAAGATCTCAGTCATCAGAGACCACCCACTGTTGGTGAGAAACTCCAGCTGGTATCTGGTATGAAGTCATCTGCGGGTCTGGGAAACTGAGGCACAAAGGTGGTCATAATTTTAACCAAGAAATCATGGGCAGAAGCAGGACCCCCCAAAAGTGTCTTCGTTCTCCTTGTTGACCTCGACCAACAGGACTTGGCCCGCATCCAGAGCAACACGAATTCAGAACCTCCACCTTCACCACCACCACTCCCACCTCCTGGTCAATGTCTCCTGCTCCCTCGCTGGCAAGGCCCTGTCATCACTCGGTTTAAAGGGGACGCGTCCACTCGCCATCAACCCTGCCCTTTCGATTCTCTGCTCCGAGCCCCAAGCGCACGAAAGACTCCAGATCTCCGAATGCCCTACTTACCTTAGCTTCTCGCTCCTGTTCCTCGACGGTCGGAGATCGCTTCATGCTGCTTCCACCGCTGCCTTCGCCACCGCGAGCCGTGTGGAGCCCGGCCCTGGACCCCGCCTCCTGCTTGTAGTTCTCACAGGGTCCCGTCCCCGCCCGAAGCCATTCTCGCTCGGAGCTTCAGAAACTAACACTCCCGGCATGCACTGCGGCGGCGCCCAAGAGCGCCTCTGGGTTGGGAGCAGGACAAATTACCTGGGTGGACAGCTGGGCGAGAGTAGTCCGCGACCCAGAGAGCCGGCGAAGAACTACATTACCCAGGTGACAACGAGGCCGCGTCACGTTTTCCCGTGCTCCCCTCTCCCGACCTCCCGACCCGCCGTCGGCGCTATAGCAACCATAGCTAACAGTCGGCGAGAGTGGGGGTGAGTACTCCGAGGGGCGGAGGGGGCGAGAGCAGGGGGGTGGCTCGACCCTTCCTCCGCGGCGTGGGCCTAGGGGCTGCGCAGCGATCTGAAGAAGGCGCTGCAGTTCTGCTCGCGGGGGGAAAAGCCCCCCAGCGCGACCCCTCCGCACCCCCAGGCCTGCAGCAGCCCGCCCTGTATCCCCACGCCTAGGACTAGTTTGAAATTGTGTAGCTCAGCCCCAAATCCTCGCGGATGCGCGTGGACGCAACTAATCGCGGCCCATCTGTATCTCAAATCTTTTCCAGTAAAAGATCGCAGGAGACATAATTCCCTCATTTGTCCTGGTTCGAGAGTTGGTTGGTAGACGCCAAACCCCCGCTGTGGCCTATTTGGTTTTTGTTTTTTAAAAATGTATCATTATTCATCGCGTGATTCCCGCCATGTCTTCATACAGGTGGGGAGTTTACCCTTTTAGTCCTAGCACCTGCTGTTCATTATTCATTCAATAAATATCCATGTGCCAGACACTGAAGTGGGCCGCCTGTGAACGAGACTGATACGTATCTCAAGTAGAGGTGATAGTGAGTTAGTAAAATAAAAAACTCAAACCCACTGCAGCCCAACCAGACGGGATAGGGTTTCCAAGGATACAGATCTTACGAAAGCCTACCTCTATCCACATCTGTCTTCTGCAGAACTGCTGGTAGATTCAGACCACCACCCTTTCGATTAGCAGCCGCTCCCGGGTTCCCCAACAGGATCATGTATTTGTCGGGTAGAGGTGACTATAAAGAAATGAAGTGATAATTGTGAGGCAGAGTACCCTAAGGTAGAATGGGAGCAGAAGGGTTCTCACGGAAAGTGAATCTTGGAGCCCTAATGAATCAGGAACCAGCCAATGCAAAGGCCTGGGGCAAGGCAGGAGGGAGGTGGGTTTGAGGTAAGTTACGGAGACAAGCATAACTGACACATAGGAAGCAAGAGGGTTACCCATAAGGCATTGTCAGAGGTCAGGCTCTTCAGACCCAAAGACCCTTAAGGTACTTGGGAGGCTCCATCCTCTCTGATCATCTAATATTGCATTCACTTAAATTCTTTGACCTGCAATCTTCTATGGACCTTTGATTTTATTGTAAATACAGTGATTTTTGGTTTCATAATTTACATTTTCCCCTCAAATCATTTCATTAGGACATCATATCCTTCAGTCATATTATAATTTACAATGTTAAAAGGTCACTACCTATTGTAAGAAGCATTGGCTGCATAGGGCAAGAATGGAAATGGAATTTGATTAGGAAGTTTTTGTAATAACCCAGGCAGATGACAATAACGAATAGGGAATTACAGTTAGATAGAGAACTAAATGAATTTGAGACTTAATTGGGGCGTAGAATATGTAGATAGCCAACTGGCTTGACACTTAATAAGTGCTCGATAAGTATTTGAGAGAAGGCCTTTCCTTCAGTGGACCTCATTTCCTCAGTGACACACAGAGGGATTAGTGTTGATCATCTCTTGAATCCTTACTGCAGATTGAGGGTTCGCAGTATAATCGTTGTTAGCAATTTAGTTTGGATCCTTTGTCACGGGGCCTGTCACTATGAGGTGTTTAGCAGCTTCCCAGGCCTCCATCCACTGCAGTTATTCGTTGCCATGGAGTCAGTGCTGCCTTACGGTGCCCCCATGCTGAGTAGAACAGCTCCATAGGGTTTTCAAGGCTGTGCCCTTTCTGAGATGGCTCTGAGTAGGTTTGAACCACCAACCTTCTGGCTAGTAGTAGAGTGCTTAACTGCTTGTGCCATCTAAGGACTCACTAGCTATCAATAACTCAACACCCAATTTTCTACCCAATTGGTAACCCAAGGGACCCTGGTGGTGAAGTGGTTACATGTTTCACTGCTAACTGCAAGGTTAGTAGTTTGAAACCCCCGACCACTCCTTAGGAGAAAAATCAGGCTTTCCATGCCCAAAAGGAGTTACAGCCTCTGAAATCCACAGGGGTGGTTCTACCCTGTCCTGTGAGGCAGAATTGACTCAATAACAGGGAGTTATGCTGTTTATTGTATCCCAATGGTGCCAGTTGATTCCAACTCGGTGACCTTATAAGGACAGGGCAGAACTGGCCCTGTAGGATTTTCAAGTCTCTCAGTACTTACAAAAGCAGTCACATCATCGGCCTTTGGAGTGGCTGGTGGATTCAAACTGCCAGCCTTTTGGTTAGTAGCTAAGTACTTTATCCTGTGTGCCACCAGTTATAACCAAAAACACGAGCACCAGACCTTGCTGATGTGTGAGGTCAGGTAAATTATCTAATCTGTGGCATTTTCTTCATTTGTAATATGTCAAGCGAATACCAACCTCACAGAGATATTGTGGAATCTAATTTATATAAGCCGAACCTTTAGCACAGTGCAAGAAACAATAAGCATTTAATAAATGCCATGGTTGTCAGTGATATTTTATATATATTTGTTTGTTTGTTTGTTTGTTTTTTAAAGCCAGACTCACTGCCATAGAGTCAGTGCCAACTCATAGCAATCCTGTGGGACAGGGTAGAACTGCTCCTGTGAGTTTCCAAGGCTGTTAACTCTTGGTTGGTTTGGGTTTTTTTTTTTTTTTGGCAGTTAACTCTTTATGGGAATCGAAAGCCCTGTCTCCTTCGGATATAAAAGTTGCCTTAATTCTCTCATGAAAAAGTAATCACTTTTACAGATGGAGTCTGCTCAAATTCCTTGATAACCTGAGTCCTACAATTCAATTTCAAAAACATGATCTTTTCTATAGTAGTGTGTTGTTAATTAAATTGTGTCCCCAAAAGTATTTGTTGAAATCCTAACCTTTCTGCCTATGGTGTGATTCAATTTTGAGGTTTGTTATGTTGATGGGAACATTCCAATGTAGGGGAGACCCTAAACTTATCACATCAAAATTATAAAGAAAACAATAAACATGGAAATACATCTATGGTGTTTACATACACCATATGAAGATCATCTAATCAATAAGCCACTGAAGACCAAGGAGCACCGAGCTACCAGCAAGGAAGGAACTGACAGTTACAAAACTCTGAGTGGGACGTGAAGCCTCCAGTCAATTTTTTCTCTCTGCGTCCCTCTACTTGTGTTACAGCAGCTGTAGGTAACTTAAGACAACATGTTTGCAAAGAAGGTAGATAATCTCCCAGACATAGCCTCTGTTAGCTGTGTCTGTCACATAAAAATAAAGTGGTTCTCCTCCTTTTGTTAGTTATAAGTTATAACCCTTTAAAGGGAATTGGCAATGCTAACAATGAGTATGAAAGAAAATGTTTTGAAATTGTAATGATTGCACAAACTTTCCTAATATAATTAGATGATTGAAGTATATGATAGGTGAAGTATATGCCGATAAAACTTTTTTTGAACAATGAATAAATAAAGTAATAAGTTATAAGCCAATCCCTAAAAGGTATTGTATATACACAGTGTATTCGTTTCTTCGGGCCACTATAACAAGACCACGCATCGGGTAGCTTTTAATTTATTGTCTCACAGTTCTAGAGGCTAGAGGTCCAAATTGGGGCATCAGCCATGGCTGACTAGTACTGAGAGCACTGAAAAAAAATTGTTCCATGTCTCACGCTGGCTTCTGTTAGCTCTAGAGATCACTTGGCTGCCAACTGCTACATCACATGTGTCTTTTTATTGGGATGCCAGGCATATAGGATTAGGACTTGCTCCAGTATAACCTCAAATTAATATAACTGACATCATCTTCAAACACCCTATTTACAACAAGGTTGTGTTCACAGTTACCAGTAGTTAGGATTTCAGCATATCTTTTGGGGAAACTCAATCCATAGCACGCGTATTCGTAGATAAATATAAGCCATATATAAATCTAGTTGTACAGATCCTAAAGTCCCATGGACGCCATTCATTTACCCTTGTGCCATGCAAGCTCTATGCCAGCCTCTACAAAACAGAGGTGAATAGTACAAATCAATTTTCTAGTCTCCTGGATTTTACATTTTAGACAAACATTCTGGAGACTGAGCTATGCTATGCTTTCGGTATCTTCATTGGGGATTACTGACTTGAATTTCTGTAAACTTATTAAGTGCTGTCAAGTCCGTGAGTGCTGATGAGTAGTGACTAAAGAAATTTAGCGAGGCAGCTTCTGCATGGAGATTAGAAGCCCTGGGACCTAGACCTCATGGCAACAAGAACAAGACTCAACAAAAAAATCCAGTTGGTGAATTTTTAAACTACTAAATTTAAAACCGCCCACTCAATTGTGCATCAAACAGAAAAGTAATATACACGTAATTTTTTTTAACAATTAAGGTTTTCTTGGGATAAAATATACACAGCTGAACCAGATTTCCATCCACATATTGGTTGCATTCTTCACAGTGTATCAATAGTTTCATTATTTCTCTTCTAGCTGTTCCACTTCCGTTTGCTTAACCACCATCCCTTCCCAAACCTTTTCCTCTATGCTTTAAGATAGCTGTGAACCCTGTGGCCTTATCTAATAGGTCTTTAAAAACTTCATGGAAGCATTCTATTTCTTATTCCTACTCACTTTGTGAAGCCCTCCTACAGACATTTTTGTGAAAAAACACCCTCAAACATGTAAAGGGTAACAATCTTGACACTGGGTTAAATGGCCGCTTGCTTAAAGATGACTTCAAGGGGTAGTTTCAATTCCTGGTTTGAAGGGCAACTGCAGGCCATATCTCGGGGACTCCTCTAGCTCACTATGTCCAATAAGCCTGGATTCTTAACGAATTTGACATTCTTTTCTCCTTTTTTATCAGGACACTTCTGTTGTGCTCCTAATCAGAAGGTCCAATAGAGGTGGCCGGCCACCATTTAGTTCTTCGGCTTTCAAAGTAGCAGAGCTCTAGTAATTCATGGAAATGATCCACTTCCTTTTCTGATTCTTGGGTTTCCTTCTCTTTCTTTTGTTCCAGACCAAAAAAGGGAAAAAAGAACAATTGTATCTTAGATGACCACTCCTAAGTGTTTAAGACCCCAGACACAGCTCACCATACACAGCTCAACATAAACTTTAAACACTACAATAGTATGCCAGTTGAATGGCTTAGGCTGACACCTCCCAAGCTAAACTCCCAAGCTAGAAGAACTAATCCTATGTTTAGTGATTTGTTATGTCTAATTAATATCAGCTTCTGGACAACCTAGCATTTGATTTATCCATTCATCCTTTTTCCCTCTGTACAGTTTGTATCATACATCCTATGCAAACTTCGCCCATATTCAGTGCCACTTTTCCATCTATAAACATGAAGTACCTACTGCCTAGGAAGTACTTAGACTTCTCCAGCCCCCGTACCCACCCCTGGCAACCACTACTGAATAGTTTCTGTATATTTACTTATTTATGTCATTGCAAAAGGAAAACATACAATATTTGTCTTTTTGTGATGGACTTTAGTCACTCAACATAATATCTGCCAGGTTCATAAATCTTGTAAGATGTTTCAGGAACTCATTTTTCTTTACAGAGCAGTGTTCTGTAGTATGTATATGCTACATTTTGCTTATCCATTCATCTATGGATGGGCAACAAGGGTGTTTCCACCTTTACCCTATCATTAACATAGATTTGCATATGCATGTTTGTGCCCCTTCTATGTAATCCCGTTTTTTCAAGTAATGTTGACATTCCAGGAAGTGTGCTTTTAGCTTGCCATCTCACTTACCCTTAGAGTAACTGTGAGGTACCAAATTGGATTATTTTCCCGAATTTTGGAGTTAAGAAACTGGAAGACTCAGCTGATTAGTGCTACCACGTTCAACCTTTTTTGGACAAGTTTTTTCTAGTTACCTGCTTGAAAGGAGAGGAGGCAGGAATGGAGAAAAAGTATTCCTTAAATCGGGAGGCGTTGTTTTTGTTTCAAGGAGCCCTGGTGGTGCTGCAGTTAGACATAGCTAACTGCTAGTTTGGGGGTTCAAAGCCACTAGCCGAATCATGAGCGAAAGATGAGGCGATCTGCCACCATGGAGATGATACTCTCGGAAACCTGAAATAGGGCTGCCTTGAGTAAGAACTGACTCATTGGCAGTGGGTTTGGTTTTATGATGTGGATTTTTGTTTCAGATAAAGGAATAAGAAGATAAAGGAGAAGGAAGAATGATAATCTTATTTCATTTCCTTAGCAAACCGTAGGAACTAGAGTGTTGAAAGGAACATTATCCTCGTGATTGAATATAGTCTTAATTTTAGAAGAGAAGCTTTCATCTTCATCAGGCAGCACATGTGGGCAATAAGATGGCCATTAAAGCTCTAGTTCCGCATTCATTTTATTTGGTTCATTCCATCGCATAGCTAATGTTATAACTTGGAAAGATTTTATTTGCATTTTCTTCTCCACAGATAGGCCATGTCTGGTCCCACTGATGAAACTGCAGGAGACCTGCCTGTGAAAGATATAGGTCTAAGCCTCTTTGGAATGGGAGGTTTACAAGGTTTGGCCAGCTGTTATTTATTACAGTTATGAACTTTGATCAGTGACTTCTTTACTTTTCATTTAAAGTTTTTCTGATATTCATACAAACCAAGCCACTTAAGTAACTACATAATTCTTGATTGGACTAAACAAGAAGAGGGAGAATTGAGACCAGCATATGGTATTTTATTGCAGGCATCAATTATCAACAGCTCATAGAAAATGTAAAATCCTTTTCTGTTCTGATAAAGAATTGTTATAAGTCATTTTTTTTAAATTCCACACATCAGTGAACTAGAGAGAGAGTATCAAGCCTCAAAACTGAATTGCCTGGTTTAAATCACATTCACCATTAAAATCTTTCTTTATGTTTAAATTTTATATGGGAGGAAATGCCATATTTAAAATTTTCTGCCTTTCATGTAGAGTATCTCAAAATGACTTGTTTATTCAAGTGATAATGACGTTTTTTATCAAATTAATATACATTAAAGGTTTTCTTTCTCCTTTTATCACTTAGTCGTTGCTATAGAGCCAAAAGGCCCTTTTCAAATTGAGAAGGGAAAGGACTACTTTAAAGAATAATTTAGCGTGTAGAACTTTTTGGTTTTGTTAGTGTACATGCATCAGCCATGCTGTCATGCTACTACATTTATTATTGAGAAGGGGAATAGTTTTAAAATATGTTCCATTAAGTTTTCATGTGCATTTTAATCAGAAAGATGGTCAATTAGAAAAGAATAACCTGACTATAATTTTAATTGTTAAAAGTATATATCAACTTTGCTTTAGTTATTTACAGAAATATTGTGGATTCAAATACAAGTAAATTTAAGGGTGCAGAACTATTTGTTGGGTTTTGGATCTCGGGTTCAACACCCGGGGCTTTAATCTCTGTGCACATTTTGTTTGTTTCTTTTAGAGAACTCTTGGTAATTTACCTACTTCACGGTGATAGGGGAAATATGAAATTTAAGTATAAGTAAATACACAAGTCAAGAGTATAAAAGATCTTACAAAATATATAAGGTAGATTATAGCAAAGGATTTGTGAAATAATATATAAATTTTTAAGATATTTTTGTTTTGCTTATCAATTTGATAGTTTATTTTCTATGGTACCAATAGCTTCCAAAACATCGTAATCATATTACATTCATCAAATTATTATACTCTTGCCTTTATAAAATAACAATGATACTTTCAGATGCTCTGACTTGTACTTTAGGTTGCTCAAGGAGCCCTGGTTGCATAGGGGGTTATGCCAGTGGTCTGGTAACCAAAAGGTCAGCATTTTGAATCGAGCAGCCCCTCGGAGGGAGAAAGATGAGGCTTTCTTTCTCTGTAAACATTTGTAGTCTCAGAAACACACAGAACCAGTGTACTCTGTCCCCCAGGGTTGCTGTGAGTTAGAATCAACTAGATGGCAGTGAGTTTGGTATGAATAGTTGCTCTGATATTTAATACTGTCTATAAAGTACTAATAGCAGAGATTTTTATTCCCTCAGATCAGTGATAGGATCAATGTCATAACATTTTCTAAAAGTCTTTATTGGTCTTCACAAAGTAAAAATTCTAGGGTGAGTCCATCAATATTACATTAATATAAACTCCTGCCATCTTTAGGGACTATTATAAGTTATCTCACTGGTAATTACCTTGGAAATTTTGCAGAAAGTTCAACAATTCGGACCATGAAGTCTCGCCAGGCAGTGTCACGGGTCACTCGTGAGGAACTGGAAGACAGGTTTTTGCGCTTGCATGATGAGAACATTGTACTTAAGCAACATGCCCGAAAGCAAGAGGATAAAATTAAAAGGTTAAATTATATCTTTCCTTATTCAATAAAGTTTGGAGGCTATTTATTGGGTTTGGGATCTCTTATGTCCACACTCCCTCTCAGTAACCTACTTACTCCAGTAACCAACAATTTATAGCCTCAATGGAAAACTTTACCTTGAATCTTTTTTGGGGGGGAACAGGGCAGCTTGTGTGTGAATGCAATTTTTGAAAATAGAAAATCTTGCAAGCTCGAGTCATAAACCAAGAAGACTATGAGTGATTATGGCTGAAGTAGTTCCTTTGAAAGAAAAGAGCTAATAGCTACAAGTACCATGAGTGTATCATATCTATAAATAACTTTCCACTTAATAGTTATGGTTTAATAACAAGTGGCCAAAGCATCTGTTATTGAAATGTCTTGATTTTTTAAGATAAAGGTTTTTAAAATGTAATTTTTCTAACTTGTTAGAATGAATGTTTTCTTAAGATTTGACATTTATTAATGAAAATCCCACTTTAACTCTGAACATATTTAACTTTGCTTGAGTTAGTCTAGATTCTATATGCATTTCAAGAACCTACTGTTTCTGAAGAAACGTCATTTTTTATTTTTGTGTTCTTCCCTCCTCCCCCCCAAAAAAGTCACAGGCATCATTTCTAATAGTAGATATTCTTTCATTTTTTTCCTGTTCAGAAATACTGTGACCTCCTTCTTCTGGATGATATTAGAAACAAAGGTGCTACCACATGTGCAAGCAGCAGCCGCCCTGCATGTGTGTTCTAGTTCCCGCAGGTGGGACAGCCCCCAAACCAAACTGGAAGACAGGGTTTTTGTCTGCCAGAATTCATCCTGGAGTGACCCTTCTATTTTTCTGTCTACTCTGTTGTTGTTTCTGGACAAAACAAATACTGCAGTGTACAGGGCTTTTACTTTGAGGTGGATTTTGAGTCATAATGATGGCTTTTTCAAGACACCTGACTCCTGTGTCTGATGTACTTTTTAACTAGGAAACTGGCAAGGAGACTGGCATATACCAGTCAGAATGAGGCATGTAGTCTATGACCAATAAAGAGGTTTTTTTTATTGTTGTTGCTGTTGTAGTTGTCTTTTCCAAACTTTTGAACCCAACTGATCATTAAGAGAATTTAATTCACTTTAGTAATTTGTCCTAGCCAGAAAATATAGAACAATAATGAGCCATGTAACTTAATGGGAAAAGGATTCGTGTGGAAGTTAAGCTGTATACATGTGTTGTTTGTTTCTCTGCTATTAGCGATAGTTTATGCGAACCACAGTGACCATCAAGCACTGTGACCTAGAGCTTTAAATTAATCTCAGCCTCACACCACTGACACCGTCCTAGATACATAGGCTGAATTGTCTTTAACTCTATCCTTTAGATGTAATGAGTATCACTTTCTCTAGTATAAATGTAAGTTAAATAAACTGACATTTTGGAAGTGTTCATAGTTTACCAGAACACTTATCATCCATGAATATCATCAGAGATTCAAATCACATGACTGAAAGCATTCCTATTACTGGACACACAGATGCAATCTTTGCTGCTTGGCCAAGTGTGTTTGGCTTCTTCAAAGCAATTGATATGCATTTGTTGCCTTTAAACTGAGGGCCATTTTTCTCTAAATGTTCACTCTCTCCTTGAATAATATATGTCTCTGTCTTTTGAATATGATCTATATATGTGTATGAAAGTCTCTGTGTAACGGGGGACTTAAGTATTTAGGTTGGCGTCTCTTTGGGACCCCTGCCATGTTTCAATGCATTGTCCTTGGGTAGGGCTCAGGCCCCTAAGCCCATAGAAAGGTTGGGTAGGATGTGTGGCTCGGTTGGGCCACCTTTCCCAGTGACATCTCCTCCTCTGGACTAACTGGAAAAGGAACTAGTCCATCGATTGTTTTACTAGGGTATGTTTGGTACTCTTGGATCTTGGTTCTTATTATCATGTATCCCTTATAAAGCATGCATAATGGATGTGCCTCAAGGGAAAACGAAAACAGTCTTAACTGATTATGTTATGCATAGCTCTCCCTGGTGCCACATGCTGGAGGCTGCATAGCCAAAAGTGTAGATAGACAAGTATTACTACTGCATTTACCGAGGACTGTGCTTAGGGCAAAAATAGGTTGTTCTAGGACATCCCAAAGCTATTAAGGGGGGTTTTTGTTGGGTTTTTTTTCTTTTCGTTTTTCACTTTTGTTCTCTTAAGTAAAAGCTTCTGTCCCTAGCCAGGCTAAAAGAAAGCAAGCCCATTTAAAGAAAAATGAAGTGTGTTTTTATTTTCAATCTCCTGTCTGGGTCTTTATAAAAATAGATTCACTATAAACTAGGATTCGCTATTAAAGATGTGCGACCAATTTTGTAAAGTCTTGAACTTGTATCTCTCATCAAAGCCACCTTTTCTTTCTTGTCCTGCCAAGATTTTTCCACTCACTGTCAGGCATGTTTTCCGTACGTGTATATTACATCACCCCCATGTGCCCTTTCTGTCTTTTGTTCTGTCTAACCAGTTTTTATCAAAACTTAAAAGAATCAAAGGTATAAACGCATGAGATGTCAAACGCACAATTTATGCCTTAACCTAAAATATTAGAAAAGTATTAGTATACGAGGCTTTGCATCTGATTATTTCCTGCCATTAAATAGGCACATCTCTTGAGCACTAAGAAACACTTCTTGACATTTTTGTTTCTTTTGAATTTTTGATTAAGCTTTTACCTGTGCACATCTATGCATTCTAACATTGCGATATTTGTAATATGTCTTAATCCTCAAAAATCTGAAAACAATATGTCGCTTAATGCTGCATAGTCTTAACACTCTTTTCAAAAGTTCTAACAGACTGTGGATTGCAGATATAACCGACCACATCCACGATCTGTAGCTACGTTTAAGTGTATCCAGCATTCCTGTATAAGGTCATGCGTTAAAAATTGCATTTGAGGAACATATGGAGTAAATATGTGTCCTCTTTTTACTAACCTTAAATGATAAGCCTTAGGAAACTGTTATTTGTCAGTGCTATAAAGCAGATTGTTGCCCAGTGGTTTCAATTATCATCAAAGGATTCTTCGCAGGCAGTAATAGTTACATCAAAACCTGAAATTTATTATTCAGGTTCTGCACTGAAGTCTTCACAGTGATTATGTTCCTTTCAACAGAATGCATTTTATGCTGACTTCTCACATTCCTTTTCATCTTTTTATTATTTACCCAGAATGGCCACCAAGTTAATACGGCTAGTTAATGACAAGAAAAGATATGAGCGGGTTGGTGGCGGCCCCAAGCGGCTGGGACGGGATGTAGAAATGGAAGAAATGATTGAACGACTGCAAGAGAAAGTTCATGAGCTTGAAAGACAAAATGAAGTCCTCAAAAACAGACTCATTTCAGCCAAACAGCAACTTCAAATCCAAGGTCACAGACAAACACCATACAATGCTGTTCAATCTCGTATTAACACTGGGCGTAGAAAAGGAAATGAAAATGCAGGCATACAGGAATGCTCCAGAAAAGGTAAAATAAATCCGAAGCCCATGTCTTTTACTAGATTATTTCTCTCTCTTTTTCACATCCACACACACGCAGGTTTTTTTCCCTCACTTTTTTGGGGGTTTTGCTTTGTTTTTAAATAGTTTTATTGACATTTCAACCACATATCATACAACTCAATAATTCAATCATATCAAAAGGAGTTGTACAATCTTTACCATCATCAATTTTAGAACATTTTCTTTTTCCTTGTACTCATTGTGATTAGTATAATTTTTTGTAATTGTGGCCAAAATATTCAAAACGAAACTTTGCCAATTCGACACCTTTCGCACACACGATTTATTGCTTTATTATTCATGTTTTTAAGTACCTTTAGAAAGAGATTTGGGAGAAAGATGAGGCTATTAGCTCCCATAAAGATTTACAGCCTCAGAATCCCTTGGGAGTTCTACTCTGTCCAAAGAGGGCAGCTTGTAGTGGATGGAAGGTGACTTAGAAAGAATGCAAAGGTAGTTTTTTGACTGAAGTTTTCATAAAAAGATCATTTTATTTAAGAATCACTAGATTATGTTCAAATTTTGTTATGTTAATATTTATCATACCTGTTACAAAAGGTATATGAAACTGAGTGATATTTTAATTTGGTTTAGTTTTAGATGGGTTTATATGATCACACTGTTCTGAATGAAGCATTGTAAGTTCATCATCCAAAGATCATTTATAAAATTATAAAATTCTGCAAACCTTCCCCATTGTATGAAGGTCGCACGACAATGGAATCTATACATAACCGGGTGTTTATAAATTGAGTTCTTGGTCCAATTACTAACAAGTGACCTTGGAGAAGCTACCTTATCATTTTGAACTTGGGTTTTCTTCAGATATAAAAAGGATTTAAGCAAGTAACCTCTTCATATACAAAAATATCATAGTTCCAGCTCTCTTCATGTGGAACATGAATGATCTGAATCTACCCAGGGTACCAAGCAATTCAATTCATAGGCAAGACTCCATCTAGAAACCATTTACTCTAAAATGTCCAATTCTTTCAACACCTGTACGAGTTTCATTTACATTGAAAGTAAAATTCAATAAACATGTAAGTTACATTTTAAAATTTCAACTATTAGGAAAGGAAATAGAGTTTTAATTCAAGTAGTTCTTCCTTCCTTACACTGCTTCATGTAAAATCGAACATTTTCAGGGACATAAAGGAACATGTAATACTTTGGTTTCAATTCATCAAAGAAGGGAAAGAAACAGCTTATACACAGAAAGTGAAAAAAAAATTTTTTTTTTTCGTTTTCTCTCCAAGCTAAAATGTTAACACACTCTATTCCAAGACAGAGTTCCTTTGAAGTCTGTGAGGCCTGCACTTGGCAGCAGACAGCTGTGTGAAGAGAAGGCATGGCTCCTCCTGACTGCCTGAGACTGGCAGTAGACTGAATATACCCAAGGTGGTTGTCATAAGTAAAAAACACGATCTGCCACAATTACCTTCTCTACCTGCAAAGGAGCACTTGCCCTCTCGGAGCTTCACTTTGTCTGACTGTAGTCGTTTCATTTACCCTATAAAAAGCCACGTATCCTTTCCGAGTCTCAGTTTTGTCATCGCTGAATGGAAACAGCCCCCAAAGTCTTTTATGCTAAATGAGAGCAGGACTCAAATTTTAGATAAATGCAGGAAAGAAAACAAAACAGAGCAATAGAATCTATTTTAAAATAAGACTGCTAAGTTTAAGTTTTTCCTTTGTTTGTGTACTCAGTGATTCGGACTTTGCTCAAGGTGTTTTCCACTGCTTTTCAGAGTAAGCGTGAGGCATCATAGCCTAAGCTGAAACTTTATAACCCCAATCGACTTCAGAACTGCCTTGGAGTCTCGAGTTTAGTCCAGAGTTATCATAAATATATCTCTGCCTCGGGTAATTAGATGAGAAATTAGGCCCTCGTTGGCTACATACTACAAAAAAATTATCATTTTCTATTTGTGCCTAGCTGGGCAAAAGGATGCCAAGTGCTGGCTTAAGGTTTTAGCAGTGCAGTGTAGGTGCGGTTCTTATTGTGAACAATCGCTGAGAAAAAATGATTTTCCTAAAGAACATACATGCATTTAAAACATAGCCACTGGCAAACCACCATGAGCCTGTATGTTTAAGTTTTATTTTGAATATAGTTTTTTATTGTTTTTAATTTCACTGGTGTTGAAAATACTCATGATCTGTGTAGGGAAACTTAAGAATGAACATTTCTGATAAATTCTAACACAGCCAACTATTTTTTAACAGTTCTATTGAGATATAATTCACACACCAAACTGTTCAATAGTTCAATCATATTAAAAAGAATTGCGCACTTATCATCACAATCCATGTCAGGCCATTTTCTTCTTTCTTGTATGCATTGTTCTTAGCTGCCTAGTTCTCCCGGTTCTCCCCTGCCATGCCCCTAAGAAATTATTCATCCAGCTATTGTCTCCATAGCTATACCTACCCTGCATTTCATACACAGAAAGACATCATAAGCAAAAACAAACCAAAAAATACCAACAACAATGGCAAAACAAAAGGCTCAATCAATAGGAAAATCTTAAAAACTGTAACAAATATACAGTGGATCAAAAGGGAGATCAAATGGCAAGGTGTCTCGAGTTTTAACCTAACTACAACTGCAGTAGCCCTCCTTACAGCATTGTCTATGTGACAGCAAGGCCAGTCACACCGCCGGCCCACAGTCGGGATTCACTGGACCCGGCCAGCGGAGGTTGGGCTTTCACTGTCATCCAAAGTCTTCTGCAAAACCGGTCTTTAGAACTTAAGCTCTAATACCATTCCCTCCTCCAGATTTGACTAAATTAATGATACTGTCAATGGAATCACCATAGGCTCAATGAGGATGATTTATAATAATAATGGTGTCTCTAAACTGAACCAGAGACATACGTAAATGAAGTTTGAGGTCACAATTAATCATAGCCCTAATCTAAGAACAATTAGTTCTCATGACATGGTCCTGCTCGATACATGCACTCATGCAGATAGGGGAGCTTTAGCAAAGGGTGGTAAAGAATGAAGATGGCCCTGGCTATCGGAAAGAATAGCATCTGGGATTTTAAAAGATTAGCTTAAAATAAGCAGCCATTTAAATGTGGTGTCAGCTAAGTTTACATGGAAGAAAAACACCGGCCTTTGTGATCCAAGGATTGTAAATGGTTTGTAGAAGGCTATGGATGACAGTGGAAACCCAAAATCCTTTGTAGGGTCCACACATAAGACTAAGCCTATGGTGAATCTCCTGTGATTATAGTTGAGAGATGTGAATAACATTTTTAAAAATCATTTTATTAGGGGCTCATGCAACTCTTATCACAATGTATACATACATCAATTGTTAAAGTGCATTTGTACATTCATTGCCCTCATCATTCTCGTGAATAACATTGTTATCACACAGAGCATTTAAAGTGGATTATGGCTGATGTAATTACGTTAAAATGTAAGATCATTTGATCTCCCATTTGGCCCGTTTTAAAGTTGTTCCTGCTAAAAATAAATAATTAATTAAGGGGAAACACTTGGATTAAGTCTCTGGTAAATCCCCTCTGACCATAGACGAGGGATGTGAATAGCCTTGCTATCATGCAGAATCCACTGGAAAGTAGATTATTACAGATGCAGTTTTAAATTAAAATTTAGCACCTTATCATTTGATCTCTTTTATGATCCATGTCAAATTTGTTCTAGTTTTTAATATTTTCTGCTTTCTTTTCTATGGGTTTTTAATTATCTTTTCAGTATGTTAAATCTAGCACAGGTAAATCTATAGATACAGTAACTGGTTTAATAGTTTCTTATGGGTTAGGCATGGGAGTTTGGGGGAAATTAACTAATAATGGGTACACAAAAGAAAATATTCTGTAGCTGATTATGGTGGTGATTGTGCAACTCTTATTGATGTGATTGAACAATTATATGTCAATAAAACTTAAAAAATAAAATCCAAATCTACAGCCAACTATTTTAACGTTTTAGGCAGAACCTTTTCTGTCCTTCAGTCTGAGAGTTAGCAACAGATGTTGACAGCATTAAAAAGAGCAGAAAATAATTGTCCCAGTCCTCTCTTATAAAAACTGTCATGCTTAAAAAATAATGTATTCTGTAAGCATTCAATGAATAATTGGAATGTTGGAAGTTTGAACCCATGCAGAGGCACCTCACAAGAAAGACCTGGTTCTCTTCTTCCAGAAGGCCACAGCTCTGAAACCCCAATGGAGCACTCTTCTGCTCTGCACACATTGGATCACCATAAACCAGAATCAACACACTGGACAGCCAATGGTTCGGGTTGGGTTATTCTTTATCTACCATGTCGTGGTGGTGGGGTGTCTGACTCCTAGTGACCCCTAGTGACGCAGTAGAACTGCCTCAGAGAGTTTTTGTTAGGGAAGTAGTTTTCTCCCACAGAGCCAACTGTCAGCTGGGTTCCAGCTGTCAGCTTTGCATGTCATAGTCAAGTGCTCAACCATTATGCTCCTTTATCTACATTAGACTAATAATTAAGTCATTTTAACATTTTAAAGTAACATGTTAAAATATATTTTCAACAATGTAGCCATCCTGGTAAAATTGTATACAATGACTTACAATAGGTACAATTTAAGACCCCTGGTGAAACCGTCAGGTAATGTTGGAGAGCTAACCAGAAGGGCAGCAGTTCAAACCCAGCAGCCTCTTCTCCAGAAAAAGCTGACGCTATCTGCTGAAGTATGGATTGACCACCGTGGATCAGAATTGACTCAATGGCAGTGGTCTGGCTCATATGAGAAAAATTATACTCGAAGTACATAAGGAAATGTTTAATTGAAAGGAATTTATTTAATAATCCAGTCTCAAATTGCCTTTTGGTTAAATACACATTTTATAATTTGTACAGAATACACCAGAGTGAGTACAAGAAACATTTTCACTTAAACATGTGAGGTCAAGAGATGTGAATGAATGGCTACCTGAAAATTCCCAAAACATTTACCAGAAATGCAGTTTTAAATTTTTGAGAGTTGTTTCTTTCATACCTCAGTTTAGACTAGAAAGATTTGAATGCAGACCCTGGTTCTTTCAGACATTTTTGCAGGAGCTCTAAGCCTAAGTTGAATCAAGTTACTTCTCGGTGATTTGGTTTCCACAGTGAAAGTTGTTGAATGGGCAATACTTGCTGCCCTGCTTTATTGAATGCCTAAAGGGGACTGTGATCTCAGCATCTCTTTGGTGCTGTACTTCCAAGTCTCTGTACTATGAAGCATCTATCTTTTACTAGTTAATAAGGTATTTTATTTTAAGTTTCCTTATGATAATAAATTAAAGGTTTTTCCTTACTAGTTTCACTTCTATAATCAAATTTTATTCATTTATTTTTAGGTCTAAGATTCCAAGATGCAGATGTAGCAGAAACTCAGCAACCCACACTTACAAAATACGGCCACAATTTACTTGAGGAAGCCAGAGGAGAAATCAGAAATTTGTATGTATTCTTTTCCATGCTCATTTTAGAACTGTGTTTATTGATTGTGTCTTTTCCATCCCTTCTTATCCTTGACTTTAAGGAAAATTGGTTTATGTATATATAATCTGCTGCACTGAAACAGCCAATTCTGTGTAGTAAGAACAGATATTAAATAGCATGCTTACAATAAAATGAGTAATATTAACAACTTGCTCAACTGTCAACTACATTGATAGAGGGGCTTATTGAATAATTGTCTTTGTTTTAAACCCCCAACCCTCAGAGAATAGCCACAGGCAGCATTCTCATGCCCAGGAAAACTACCGATTTTTTTTTTTTAAGTTCTGAATTAGTTAGCTCTTTTCATGGTTTAAAAAATGGGGGATGGGAGACATAATTGGGGGAGAGGCTTAACAGTCTAGAGTTGTCTGATACATATGATCTCAGACTTTGTTCTTTGTGATTCTGTGGTAGTGTTCTTTTTTTTTTCTTTTTTTCTTTTTTTTTGATTTTGCAAAGATAATTTATGGAAAATCTACAGCTAACATCATACTCCATGGTGAAGGTTGAAAGCCTTCCCTCTAAGAGTGGGAGCAACACGAGATACTACTTTCACCACTGCTATTTGAAGTTGTCATGGAAATTCTAGGTAGAGAAAGTAGGCAAGAGAAAGAAATTCAAATAGGAAAGGTAGAAAATCCCATGAAATCTGCCGCAAAGGGAACAGAGCTAGTAAATGATTTTAATCAAATTGCTAGATACAACATGAACACCTACACTTTGAACCAGTTAAACTGGTTCAGTAATTGCCACCACAGTAATATCAGAACAGACCAAAATTCATAACGTGGATGTACTGAACACTAACCACAATAAGAAAAAGTGACAAAAGACCTGGAATGGGGGACTTCGAAGAGGCACAGTGAACCCTTCCCAGAGGCTGATGTGGGAGATGAGATTATTGCTAGGGCTATGGAGAGCAACACATATTCAAAGAGGTGCAGTTGGCAGCCTGTGGTAGTGTTCTTCATGTGCCATGGTTTCATAAAAGTCACGTGTGTTGGTGTTAGGTGTCTTCTAGTTGGGTCCAGCTCCTTGCAAGCTCTGTACAACAGAAGGAAAGTTACGTTAGTGACGTTTAAATGTTAGTTCATTCGAGCCTCATGGTTTTAGTGTCTCTGAATCACAGATGAAATGAAAGGTTCTACTTCGTCTGCAGGCTGTCACCTGGATCATCAAAAAGTAATACTACAACCACCACCATGTTTCCAAATATTTTCTAACATGACAAGGATAATAATTCATTTCACTGCATTGTACCTGTAGAAACCACTGAAATGGAAAATGTTTTGTTTTATATATGTATTTTTACCACAATTTTTTAAAAAGTAACAATGCTGAATACCTGTATCTGAGACTCCTTGTCTTGGGTTGCTGCCAGACACAAAGTCATGCCACTAAATTGCGTTTAGCGTTTTATCTTCCTCGCTTAGATGGTGTGGCAGATGTTTATATGAAAAAACAAAGGCATATAAATTAGCTGAAGATGAGAAGATTGTCGAAGTATATAGAAACCCAAGACAAACCCAATGCGATTGAGTCGATTCCAACTCAGAGTAACCCTATAGAGGGTTTCCAGAGCTCTGAATCTTTATGGAAACAGTCCGCCTCATCTTTCTCTTAGAGCGGCTGGTAGATTTGAACTACCATTCTTGCACTTAGCAGTCCAATGTTTACCCAGCAGGACTTTGGGGGATACGTGGTAGGTGATCAATAAATACTCCCTTACTTGAATGAAATCAAAGTCCAGTCCGATCTCTAGCACTTTATCTTGTAAAAAGCATTATCTTGAATTGTTCCATATGTATTTCCAAATCACCCTGTGTAATCTACTATTTTACTATGTGCAGAGGCACTTAAGCTAAAAGTCTCAACTTTTGCTTGCTCTTTATATGGAGAACTTTCTTTGCACAGATCTTAAATACTGCAAATTTTCCTCTAACTACAAATTCTTGGAAAGACTTTTTATTTCAGAGAAAATGTTATTCAGACACAGAGAGGCCAGATTGAAGAATTGGAGCAGTTGACAGAGATCCTGAAAACTCAGTTGAGGAGAAAAGAAAATGAAATTGAGTTATCTCTCCTTCAACTTCGAGAACAACAAGCTACAGACCAAAGGTATGTGAAAAACAGAAATAACATTTGGGTAAGGTCAGAATTAATTTTAAATACTTTGCCATGTCCCATAAATGGCTAAGCTTATATAGTCTATTTTAAAATCATGTTTTTATTTAACATTCTTCATATAAACTTACCCCAGCTTTCTGCCTGTGCTCAGCATCTCTCATTAAGCAGACACCCTTAACCTGCTCTGCTCTAGAATAGTAGCAAGCAGATTCCAATGAGTGCAGATCACCTTGACTTTGTCCCCTCCACTCATGACCAGTATTATTGCAGGATGCTCTTCTGACTAGAGTTACCAAGAGAAGTAGAGGTGGGAAAGACTCACTTGTTGGCATCCTGGTATATTAGTACAGGTTTATTGAACTTATGACTTCCAAGCCAAGATGGCCACCTAGACACATGCATAACCAAATCCCTCTACAACATACGAGGAGAAGATCGATATGAAAGGAAATCCGGGCATCTGGAACCTTAGAAGAAAAGATGAAAGATAAACGGAATCCTTCGCATCCCAGAGACTGGATGGTGGCAGAAGGAGATCTATTGCTCTGGGAGGAGGAGAGATCATGGCTGACCAACCCTGTGTGCCTAGAGGGCCCAAGTGTATAGATGAAGACAGGCCCCCATGCTTACACGTGGACCGAAGCCACAGAGTCTGTGTGGGCCATTTTCCTTTCCTATGTTTTTTATTTTTTTAATTTTTGCTACTTTTATTCTTCAGTGTCCTGGCAGTCCTGTTTACTCTAGACTCACTATCCTCGTGCTAAAGTAGCCTGTGCCCTGAAGCCAGCAAACAAACCCCCCAAAAGTTCTTTTTCTCCTTCATAAGTCCTAGGAATTGTGGGAAAGGGACATCAGCTACAAACATTCCGCAGTTCTCTGCAACTGAGCCTAGAGCCAATGTGACAGGGACCTGCCGCACCCCCCACTGCTGTTATGCAGGGCTGAAGGAAGAGCCCACCAAAATGGCTTTTTCTTTTGCTTTTGTTTTGTGGTTTCTAGTATTCCATTCCTGCACCACCTGACAAAATCCACTGTACCCACATGATCTAGACACCCTCCCACCCTCAACAAGTACCTCACAATGTCTTGAAGACAGCAGTAAATAACTGCTCCACATGAAGAAGCAGGAAAAACAGGCACAAACCAATGACCAATATAAACCTATCTATTCAGATGCAAAGCACTTTCCTGGAGAAGGAGAGCCTCTGGGACTACAAGAAAAATAATCCAGAAGATGGAGTTCAGGTACTTTCGATGGTTGGAGGAAAAGAACAATAGAGCTGTGGAAAAATCGAAATATTAGACACTTACAACAACATCCGGAAAGAAAGAAATCCAGAATAACTAAGATGAGAGAATTAAGACAACACTTTAAAAGAGCAAAGCAATAGAATTGAAGCAATGAAAAGCTAAATTAGTGAACTTAAAGAAAAATCTTTCAATTTCAATCTATGAGGGAAAAAAGATGAACAAAAAAAACAAAAAAAGATCTGAAGAAAACACTATCAAGAATAACAATTTACAGCTCATGGGGATTCCAGAATAGGAAGTTGTTTTTTTTAATCCACAGAAAAAAATTACTCAAGAACTCTTGATAGGAAACTTCTCTAACACTATAAAAAACAAAACAAAATAAAACTCACTGCCCTCAAGTCAATTCCAACTCATAGCAAATGTGTAGGACATAATCAAACTGCCCCTGAGGGATCAAGACCTTAAATCTTTACAGGAGTAGAAAGCCTAACTTTCTTCCATAGAGCAGTGGCTTCTAACTGCTGGTCGTACTATTACTACCCCTATACTATAACTTCCTATGTACAATGTATACTATAACTTCTTACACCACAAGGACTCCAACACCATAAAAGTAGAGAAACTAAAGTTCAAGAAGCTGAGAGAACCCCAAACAAGATAGAACCCAAAAGAAACATTGTGAACATTGTGATACATTGTAGTCAAACTTTCCAATATCAGAGACAAGTTTATTTAAATTTGTTTTAAGACTTAAAGTAAATTCTATAATATGGTATCTGTTTGGGGTATCAATAAGATGTTACCTCTCCTAATATTCGAAGATTGCATCACATTGTTGATTGTCATTGATGTAGTAATCTCCTTTGTGCCTCTTCTCTTTTTTGTTGTTATATTTTTTTATTCAGTACGTGTGTGTGAATTAACTGAAGGTTTACAGAGCAAATCCATTTTCCATTCAACAATTTATACATATTTTTTCATGTCATTGATTGCATTCCTTATAATATAACATTATTTATCCCACCTCTTCCCTGTACTTCCTATTTCTAGTCCTCCTTTTGTCCTGGGATAAATAATGCCCTTTTGATTTCAAATGTTTGGTTATTCTAAGGATTGTGTGACTCTCTAGAGTTATTGTTCCCATTATAAACCTATCTATTCTTTAGCTGAACATTGAGGTTTTGGGGATGAGTTTAATTTCAGCTATGACGAGTGACAAAAGACCATAATCTCAAAGGTTCTGCTCATCTTTATCCAACCAGTAAGCCTGTACTTTTTATGATTTTTAATTTTAGTCTGCATTTTTATCACACTGTCTCGGCCCTTCAAATATGATGCCTTTCAGAGCAGTTGTTAGCGGTAGCCAGGCACCATCTCATTCTTAGTGTCTCAAAGTAGTAGAGGCTGATGTTCCCAGGATACATGTCTATTAGTCCATTAGGCTAATAGTTTCCATTTGTCTTAGATTGTCGTTACTCTCTTTTCCTCTGGACAGGGAGAACTCTATAGTGGTAATTTAGATTCATTTCAGATTCAGAGTGTAGTTCTCTTTTAACAAACTAACCTTGTCTAGAAATATATGAACAAGCTAAGAAGAGATTCATAATATCAGACTTAAGAAACTTAACGTGTGCAAAAAAATACAAAAAAACTATATATAATTTAGAGATACAAACTAATTTATTTTGCCTAATAATTCTATTCCTAAAAATTCATGTGTAACATTAAGTTACATAATGAAACCCCATATGTCCAGTAGAGGAGCCCTGGTAGAGTAGTGGTTGCACTTTGAACTGTGATCTGCATCGTCAGCAGTTCAAAACCACCAGCAGCTCCACAGGAGAAAGACTGGGCTTTCTACTCCCATAAAAGTTACAATCTCAGAACCCCACAGGGGCTTGCTGTGAGTCATCATTGACCCAATGGCAGTGAATTTGGCTTGATATATATCTAATGACAATTACATACCCTTCTGAGCACAGGACAAAAGAAACATGGGTATTTTTGAGAAAGATATATAAATTAGGCGATGTAATCTGAACCTGCAAGCTTAAATACATGAGTTACACATTGTTCCTTCCCCTGGGAAGAACTCAGCCTTCTTGGAAAACCAAGGAGTAAATTATTCCTTTTGAGAAACATTGCCAATGGACCACACTCTAACTCTGAGTTTAGTAATCATTGTAAATTGCCAGGATCCATATTTAAGACAGTGCCTAGGTATAAAAATAATGTACCATATATACTTTAGGATAAGCCAACCCGAATATCAGCTGAGGCACCTAATTAAACCACAAAAACTGCATCGAAAATGTGCTGAAGTACTCGGCTTATACACGAGTATGAATGGTAGTTCTGCCAAGCTTATGCTTGGGTCCATGGCTATCAGCTTTATTCGCCTGCTGAGGAAAGGTTACTAGGGATTATTTTCCCAGTTATATATCTCAGATTCCCAGAGCTAAAAATGAACAGTGTTGGCTGTTTCCTTTTCCAAAGGGACATGAATATTTAGGATATAAACTCTCAATGTTGATTGAACACCAAGAGACATCAACATATATACATAGTTTCAAGTCCCTGAAGCCGACTAAACTAGGCGCCACCTGGGGAAACTCCTATCAGCCACTCCACAGCATTCTATTTTTTGTTGCAAAGGCAAAACAAGTATTACAGGTAAAGGAACTTTCTTGCAGAGGCCAAAGAAATAAATCCATTTGTACCCTGAATTTTTTAAATTGCAAATGTATTTATCATTTCCTTAAAACTGCAGTGACTGTATATTGTTTTCTGAAATACAGTGTTGAAATCTAAAGAAGTAATTTAAAAAAGGAGCTTCAAGGCCTTCTTTCCCCTTATGTTTACACATAGCTCAATATTTTATGTGTAACACTAAATGTTTTGAGACTAATGGAAAATGTTGGGGAGAATATGTAACTTGGTATAATTTACTGTAGAGAAAAGTCACAAAATGGAAAACATATTTAAAGGTCTCTTTCACGGATACATTATTTCAAATTTGAAATTCTAGAAGTCTGATCTGGGCTGTTGTGCTTCTTGTTGCAAACATGAACCTAGCGTAGCTCGCTCTTCAGAGTGGCTGTGCTTGGTATTGATGGCAGAGTGCCTTTTCATAGAATCTTACAGAGACTCTTCATAGTATGCGTTTAATAGACCAGTTTGGTTTGGCATCAGCTTGACATAAACTTTTGGTTATCCAAAGCCCTTAATTGCTTTGAAGTAAAAGCCCAGTGCTGCTCTTTTTTATTAAAATCATGCTTTTTCCTGTTGTTGTGGTCTATTTTGGAAGACTAAGTTGTAATTTTTGCATATGTTCTACATAATGCCTCATTAGCAAAAAATTCTTGTATCATTTACAAGTAGCCTGAATGTCTGTGTTGTTTTGAACAAAAATCCATATTAAAATTTAAACAATATAAAAATGCACATTTTCTGCTTATTAAAAAGGAGGTCTTAAATTAAATGCAAAGCAGTAACCAGTGAACACATGTACATAAGCATTATAGTCAGAGTGATTTTACCTTTTATTGACTTTTTCAACTCCAAAAATATTTACACTCGCACCAAATGTGTAAGTAGTTTGTACTAAATGTTTTTCTTTAAATAAATGTTAGAGTGGTTACCATCTTAATTAAAAATTATGTGAGTGATTTAATGTCCCACTGGAGAAATTTAACCCATAAATGTTTCAGACAGTCTCACTTGTCCTCTCCCCTTTG